TGGGATGCCGTCTCCTCCTTTTGCGAAGCAGTCATGCTAGCTAAGGAGGAGGCGGGACGCGTGAGGCAGCGAAGCGCTGCCTCCTCGCAACCCAGCCATCGCGAAGGACACACCGGGCGTCGGGGATCGCGGGACGATCTCCGGCCACCGTAAGCGCGGGCCTGCGGACGGCGAGCATGGGTGGCTCCCCGTCCGACCAGAAACAGACCCGAGCGTACGGCGCGTCGCGTTCCGCGCGCGCCTCAAAGAGCCATCAGACCACCACAGATGGGGCCCAATAGGGCCGATGCCGATTCGGAGTCGCGGAGAACCTAACGGGTAACCGGGGCTCCGGCTCGACGTGCAGGAGAAGGAACGGGGTGGTTTTTAGTCAGTAAGAGTCTGACACTTCCTCCCGCCTCACCCAGGCGGGAGCAGTCATTCGATGATTCCCCCCCTTAAAAAAAAAGCACCTACGTCACATCATCGATTATCTTTTTCGACTCTTTGCATCACGTGGTCTCTAGAGTCTAGATTCTAGTCCAAATAGATAATGTGAAAACGTAATATACATCGATAAAAATCTTATTTCCGATTTACATTACTGTAACAGTAATTAATTATACTAAATGTCAGCTGTGCCTATCTAGATTAAGGTAAAACGTATCAAAGTAAACAATACCTAAAAGATGAGTAGATAAATAATAAAATTGTTTGCAGCATAGTTTGACATCTTGGCTGGCTAAAACAACTTCCTCCGCTTGTTGGACGTCCAGTCATTGTGCCAGTGTTTGTAAACATATAACGGGCAATTTATCACACAATGAACTATTGTTTACCTCGGATTATTATAGGTATTGCCTAAACTCAATTACAACATTTACCACTAATACCCATTGCTGAATATTTTCTCCAAATGCTATGCCAAAGTTTTTGTTTTCATTACAATAGGTCTATCTATTCAGGATTCTATTGTTCTTTTTTCTCGGTCGATATGTCAATTATTGTTTTTTGAATCATCTGACGCATCACTTCTGGTGTTTTCTGAGTTTTTTCTATTCAGTTCCTGCTCTTATTTCAAGTGATAGGGTCATGAGAGAGGGTCAGTGGTCAGTGATAGACATATTTTTTTTATTTTCACTCGTCTCGTATTTTTAATTAATATAAAGATTTTACTAGTAAACTTAAATATATGTGTTTCATTAGTTTTAACCTCTATGTTTACATCTCAACAATCCGTCTTTACTGTGAATGTTTCGTTTTTTATTCTGAATCTTATCACTAGTGTTCTACTTATCTATTGAAATGTTATTTATAAAAAGAAAATAGTAATTATATTGACCAAAATTATAACTCCAGCATCTTAAACACCAATAGATGTACTTTTTGGTTAATATCAATAAAAATACAAGCTACGTAAATAACCTACATCGATATTTTTCAGATTCACTTTGATAAATCAGTGTGGAGAGCAGCTTAAACAGAAGCACACCTACCCTCTAATATTAATTTACAAGAAAAAATAACGGTGTATAAATTTAAATTATTTTTGTAATATATTTTTAGTTTTTAAAGAAAGCACTGCACAAAATGTTCAACGTTAATAATAAAATAACACTGCACTGTGTACCTGTATATCGGAGCGTGGCGATGTCGCCGGTAGCTGTGGAAGCGTGCGATCGGTCGCAAGCTGCAAGTCGCAGCACGTGTTCAATCACAAATTCGCGAGCTACGCAGGGAGGCGAAGCGTGTCACGGTGCGCCGCCTACGACCTATACTGGAAGAGAACCTTCGCACTCGCACCGATTTTACTCGCCCCTCTACACAACATAACACCTTAAAAGTAAAAGTGGTTGATCCCGAAGGCGTGGCAGCCGGCCGGCCAACAGCCATGACTCGGCATTGCCTACACTACATTATGTTATTATCAAGGTGCGTGGCTTGCCAATCGTGATAGCTATCACGCTTGCCAATCACGCATTTTAATAAGGAAATGTCAAGATCAGATTTCGGTTGTCTAGGTCTCTCACAATATAATCTAGACTCTCCTAAAATAAAGCACTTATTGACCTCAGCTGTCTTTTATTACTTTCAGCTGCAATAATAAGAATTAATGTGGGACGTGACACGAAATCTGTCAAATATCCTCAATAAATCCTAGATACTAGATACTTCGTTGACAGAGTTAAAAAATAATTGAAAAGTTTACCTGAAAATTCTGAAAAGCAAGTACCTACCATAAGATGTTATACCGATTTCAATTCAAACAATTGACAATACCCTATTACTCATCTCATATCTGCATCTTTACTTAAGATTTGACTGTCTGCTTGATTTTAATAGGCTGCAAAATCATTAGACCGATTTGAAAAAATATTTTACTGGTTATTTGTAGATTTACTTTTCAGGTTCCGGTATCTCGGTTATTTTTATCCCGATATTTGTCCTGTGTTAGGGTCAACGTGATGATCTTTCTGATTCCACGCGGGTGGCACACAGAAAGTTAGTAAAATAATTAACTCGTCGAGTACCGGTTTTGTAGACACAATTATAGAACAATAGGTTGCGGTCACCGGTGACCGCTTGGTGTTTAACAGTTTAAACTCGTCGAGTACCGGTTTTGTAGACACAATTATAGAACAATAGGTTGCGGTCACCGGTGACCGCTTGGTGTTTGACAGTTTAAATAGGTTTTAATAATGGTAGAAGGTAATGTACAGGTGAGTATTATGGCGCCGGCGCAGCAACATATCTATGTACTAGTACCTATTATAGGTACTAGATAAATGCCGCAACTATGTAGTGGTTCCCAGGCTACACAATTGCCGGTTTTTGTCCTCAATCGATATAATACAGCCGTATTGGAGACTGTGAGAGCAACAGGAAACATGAGCCCAACCCTAGTGTCGGAAGAGTTAGCTCATGTTCCTGCAAAAACAATTAGAGCGAAACGGAATTCGGGTCCTATCGATTTACATTATCTATGTTTCGTAACTCTATCTACCTACCTAATGTGTTGTAAACAATACTTAGGTACAACAGAAATGGCGAACGCGAAAAAATTGTGACTTCTGACTAATTTGAACATTGCAAAATATTTATTTCTTTGAAATGATATGAAACTTTCCACGTTAGCTCTTTACTTTTAGTGCTATACAAAGAAGTCCACCTAATCATTAATTGACGATTATTATTTACAATTACACTTCAGGTTCGAATTGACTGATTTAAAAAAGATGCTATATAAATTCTTAATAGTTTTAGTGGTGATTTCATTACAATTAAGGACGTCAAATGGTCATAATACGAAGAACTTAGCATGGAATGGTGGACCAGTGAATCTTCAATGCGAGTTCGGCTCAGATTTGTGGACTAATGGATATGTGAAGGAAAACGTGATTGCTGTAAAGGCGTTACAGTTTCAAGATAATATCTATGTCATCACACCAAGGTATAATATTGTTTGTATTCAAATTCTTTGGAAACCAACCTATGTGAAAAAGTCATTAGGTGGGCAGCTCAATTAATAACGTAATAGTTTTTATTTGGTTACTAATCATATTTCTAGCATGACTTAGACTTGTCACATAACCAGTATCCACTACTGCCCCAAATATAGGATCTTCTAAACTAGTTTTCGTCTATAAATAGACTCGATCACCTTTTTCTAGTCTGGTGACCTAGTGTCATAAACATACTGGTTATTTGCCTAATACCTAATCATATTGCATTATTACTTACGTCTTTTTACCACGACATGCTATTTAACTGTGAAGTCAATTCTTAAATTTTAGAGTTCTACAGTTATATTAGGAGTTATCTAGGTTTTATTTTATATTAATGTTCTAAATTAGTTTTTAGCTAATTTGAACAAGTCTATTAAGTAGTCAATAAACTTAAAAAAAATAAGTAGGTAATGTGTGTACGGTCTTACGTTCATTTATTTTCCAGGAATTTATAAAAATTAGTTATGTGTATATTCATGTTCCATTCTAGTCCTGCATTACATGTGTTTATTTTTAGAATGAAGCAAAATGTACTGGCAACTCTTTGGTTGATTATTCGAGACAAAAATGGTGTGGAACTCCAACCTTATCCTGAACTACGCGATCACAAGCTAACTGACTGCAACGCTATGCAAAACGCTGTTGATTTCTATTTGGATCATCTTGTAAGTATCATCATCTCTACGCATACATGAGACGGGACAATTAAAAGTCACATGGAGGCTTTCAGAAAACGTCTATGTCTGCCCCAGGCGAAGGATCTTTATGAGGATTTTTCACTTCGAGGTCAAAATAGTGGGTTCTACTGTGTCTTTAATTTCACTAAATAAACTACCTACCTATAAACTATGGCTAACAATATCAGTTTGCATTTTGCTATAAAATTGTTTTACATTATTATTCAATTAGACCGGAAAACCTAACAGCAATATTTTTTCTGATTGTGCTATGTACAATCATTGTAGCTATTATTTAAATTAACATCCGATCGAACCTATTCACTTAGTTATTTGTATACCTAATACTAATAACTAGATCATCTAACTAAAATTATTTTTTTTATGGGATAAGGTAAACGAGCAGACGGATCACCTGATGGTAAGCAATCAACGACTCTCATGGACACCTAAAACACCAGAGGCGTTACAAGTGCGTTACCGGCCTTTTGGCAATTGGGAATTTGAGGATTGTGGAGGATTCGGGGATTGGGCCTTCGGTTACCTCACTCACAAGACGAAACAAAACAAGCGTTGTTTCACGTCGGTTTTCTGTGAGGCCGTGGTATCGTCCCGGTTGAGTCGGCCCATTCGTGCCGAAGATTAAAATATAACATAGCATAACATCACGCCTTTTATCCCCGAAGGGGTAGGCAGAGGTGCACACAGAAGTAACACCCACTTTTCACTATTTATGTTATGAGTCCCATGTAATAGGGGGTGAGCTTATTGCCATATACCGGGCACATTTCCAGACTCCGTGCTACTATTGAGATTTTTTTAAAAACCCAGTAATACTTTGCCCGACCCGGGAATCGAACCCGAGACCCCTTGTCCTTGACCCCGAGTCGCACTAGCGACCACTCGGCCAACGAGGCAGTCAGAGTCTTTAAATCTAGGGGGGCTATGCCAGACTCATCGTGACCATGAGAATTTTTGGAGTAGCGAGAAATATTAGGATCTGTCCAAACTACATACACATCATAGATCTTGACAACACTTGTCACAATATGGTTTGGACAGAATGGACTGAAAAGCACCTATCTCTGTAGCATTAATATTCAACTCTTTAATTAATATTTCTCTCTCTTTTTTTTAAATCTGACACATTCACACACTGACAAGTGTTGGACATTTCCAATAACTCCACATGAATCACAGTTTAGACTGCTTATTTTTCTCATTAGGAAACCGAACTTGTTGGGAGGAATGTGTTCAGACCTTAATCTATGCGCTGTTACAATATATTTTCTACTTATTGTAATATCAGCAAACCAAGGAGGAGGTTCACTCCGTCCAGTAATAAGTTCACATTTTATCGTTTGTGAAAATACTACAACAAATGTAGACTCTATCTAATTAATACCAAAATCGCCCACAGCAATAGAAACACAAATAATTCTTTTATAACACATCCGTACGTACATACATACGTCCAGGTCAAATGGAGAACCACCTTTGTTTTTCACCTTTGTTTGAAGTCGGTTAAAAATATAAAAATAGCACCCAAAGTATATATATCGTAATTGCTTCATGAATAAATCAATCAATGCTATGTAATAAATCTTTTATTTGTTAGCAATAATAAACAAGGTCATTTGCTAAATGTTTTTCAACCATCGAACTGCCCTTATAGGCCCCTGGCAAGTTTGCATAAGTCGATACTTAATTTCTGTCAATGTCGCTGTATCGAATTCGCGAGTTACAAACAAGGCTCTACCGTAGAAAACACACACACACACACACACACACACATCAACACCCTATGACAGGCCACTGCTAAAATATGGGCCTCTTCTACATAAGAGAGATCTGCCATCTTCATTAGCTTAGCATGTGGGCTAGAGTTCGTAGTCTAGAGTAGAGAAACACCACTAAAGATTAATTACAGTATGCTTACTTATCTGAACTAAGTACCTACACATTTTGTCAACAGGGAAAGCTGTGGATCCTCGACACTGGAGTCATCGATACGCTAAATAATCCAAAATGCACATGCCCTCCAAAAGTCGTCATCATCAATTTACTCTTCGGAAAGTTAGTTAAACGTATCGACATCAGTTCTTCTCATTTGGAAGCGAATTCTTTGTTGCAGAATATAGTCGTTGAATATGACTTAACTGGAAACACTTTTATGTACGTATGCAGGTACTTATCCTATTTATTAAGAAATCCATAATATTTCAGAAGTTAATCGGTAGGTACCTACTTAATTGCTCAAATATATTTTTTATTAGTTACCTAGGCCTAGCTTTTGCAACAATGCAATAATAAAAAGTCAAAGAATTTAAATTACATTGATTCAAAGCCCAACAATAACATTTCGAAATACAACCAGCCTGCCCACTTGAAGTAGGTACCTAACGAATGTATGAACCTATATATCTAGATAATGTCTATGACTCTACATGTTACTAAATGACCTGCCCCCGAATGTGTTTTAATTTGAATAAGTGTTTACCTCGACAAATTAATTAATTGCTTACTTGCAGGTAAGATTGTGATATACATTTGAAACTTTTGAAAGTCGTCCTGCCAGATGTCTTGTATCTATCTACTTCGCAATTTTCAGTCGTGCTGTAAT